AAGAGACATCCACTCTTCTACTTGAAGTTGTTCAATAGTTCCCTGTTTCAAAATAGAACTCAAAACATTACTATGGCTTTCAACTTCTGACCTCAGCTGCTATTCTTCCCCTTTATCACTCAGTCCCAGCTAGTTGGCTCCGTGCAGGGCAGGCAAAGACAATCCTGCCTTAGAGCCTTCACTAGCTGTCCCCTCTAATCATTCTTATATCCATATATCTGACTCCATCTCTTGCAAATCCTCCAAAATAACCTCAAAGAATCCTGTATAATATTGCAATGCCCCATTCTATCCCATCATGACTCCAGATCCCACTTGCCCTACTACATGTTCTCTGTAGTATTTACTAAATTCTATGTTGTTCACTTCTATGTTGTCTCCCTCTGCTAAAATATAATGTGGCTAACATGCCCCAAGGTAAGGATTTTTGCATTTTGTTCACTGGTAATCCCAAGCATCTAGAACAGTACTTTCTATAATACACAGTAAGCTTTCAACACCTAATAGTCGAAAGCACTGTTTTAAACCTAGGGATAGGCTGGGCACAGTGGCTCACACCTGTAATCCTAGCACTCTGGGAGGCCAAGGCCAAGAGGATCACTTGAGTTCAGGTCAGGACTTTAAGACCAGCCTGAGAAGAGTGAGACCCTGTCTGCTAAAAAATAGAAAAAAAAAGTTAGCTGGGTGTGGTTGCACACGCCTGTAGTCTCAGCTACTCGGGAGGCTAAGGCAGGAGGATCCCTTGAGCCCAGGAATTTGAGGTTGCTGTGAGCTAGGCTGACGCCATGGCACTCTAGCCTGGGCAACAGAGTGAGACTCTGTCTCAAAAAATAAAATAATAAACCTAGGGGATATAGTAGTAAACAAGACAGGCTGTCATGGAATTTATTATGCAAAGCCTGACAAACCTGTATTGCTGAAGCATTCTGATGTGTGAAAGCTAGGATATAAAGAATGGTCAGAAAAAGCCTCTGAGGAATTAATTTGAGCTGAGACCTGGATGATGATGTATCAAGCCAGCATAGTGAAGATCTCAAGGAAAAGCATTTGAGATCAAGTCAACAAAACCTGCAGGACACTTGGCTCTTAAGAATGTGCCAGGTTGTGCTAGGGAATGGGCTGTCTCTGAACTGTTAGATTTCTAAGCTTGACCTCAGACTCCTAAATTCCTTCTGTACTACAATAGTGGACTGCTTTCAGTAACTCAATGCCATGCACTTTCTGTTATTGGAGTATTTTTCCTCTGGAAATCATTGTTCCCTGATCCTGCGTATTTATCTGGCTGATTATCCTTCAGATCAGACTATATTTTACTCATCCTGAAAAGCCTTTCCTTTCAAGTTGTGTGGGTAGGTAGAAAACAGCAGGTGAAATTTCATTCTAATAAGAGTGATGGAAACTAAACTAACTAACACGAAATGTACCAATAAAAAAAAAAAAAAGAAAACCTAAGAAATTGTAGCTTTAGTCCTAGAAGTTGTAAGTTTATTCCCTAAAACCATAAACAAAATCCAGTAAAACTCTGGTCATCATAAAGAGTTGATATTAGAAATAAGATCTGAGACAAAGCCTACATAGAATACTACATACAGTTCCAGTTTGTATTCCTCAAAAAATACGTAAGTAAAAAAGGAACAGATCATTCTATCAATGTCCAATTCCTACCTTCAAGAATTCTGTAATTTAATTCATAATGATAGTAAATAAATTAAAAGACCTATTTGCTAAGATGCTTTATATTGAAAGACCAAATTACATGCAGATACGGGCTTGTCTATCATTTGTTCAACTAAGAATTAAATCACAATTTGAGATATCAGCAATTTTGCCAACTCCCATCTTGTATTTCTACAATATTATCTAAGGGGAAAAGTATAATTATAATGGGAAAAAAATCAGATCTTGGAACCAGAGAATAAAAGAAGGGTGACAAGTGAACTATCTAGATGTAGAAAATAAGTAGCAACAATTTTATTTAGGTTAGGATTTTTAATTGCTTTATTCATATAAAATGGGAAAGCTATCTTTTGGGGAGCTAAACAAATTGAGTCGACAAATATTTAAGTATGAAATTTCCATGGAAGATAAAAATATATTAGTATAGGAAATGCTTCCTGCCCTCAGCTGCTAACAGTCTAGGTAATTAAACAAAAAAATTGCAGGACAGGTCCCTGGATGGCCTTGTTCAGCCCAGCTCTTCCCTCTCTTGCTTGTAATTCTTAAGCAGAACATACTGAGATAAGGAGGAAATGTCTAGAACAACCTGGGTTGTGTCCTCCTTCCTTCTAAAACAGGGTGTTCTGCAATGCTTACACTAAGCGATCCCAGCCACTCCTAGGTTATAAAACCCAGAGCAGAGTGTTTTTGGGGGTCCCTTAGCTGTTGTGCAATGTAGGGCACGTGCAGACAAAACTCCATCTGCCCTGGGAAGCTTTCCTGAGCCGTGGGGTCCAGCTTACCATGGATCCTACGTTTCTGTTTATCCTTCCTGACTAATACATTTGCTTTGCCTGACTTATTGTGTGAGTGTTCTGCCTCACCAGACTAGATCTAAGAATCTTTCCAAGAGTTACTCAAGAGTTTAGCTGTCCAGTGCTTGCATCGGCAGCACATATACTAAAATTGGAATGATACAGAGATTAGCATGGCCCCTGTGCAAGAATGACACGCAAATTCGTGAAGCATTCCATAAAAAAAAAAAAAGTTCAGTTGTCCAAAATTTATAAAGTAATATCACAAAGTAGCATGGTATTAATAGTCACATTAGTGCTACAGAATTCAGAGGAGGCAAACAGAAGTTTGACAATCTCTTGCTTGCCTTGAAGGAATAACTGCCATATTGAGAGGGCCACATGGCAGAAAATAGTGGGTGGTGTCAGTGTTAATGGCCACAGTCAGCAGCCAGCAGTCCTACCACGACAAAAAACTGAATTCTGCCAAGAACTCAAAGAATGAGCTTGGAAGAGGACCCCCAAGAGCCTCGGATGAGATTGTAGTCTTGATGTGAGACTCCGAGCAGAGAACCCAGCCACAAGGAAACTGTGAGATACTGCATTAAGCTGCCAAATTTGTGGCAATTTGTTATACAGCAGCAGAAAATACAGGATCCCAAAGGACAAGGCTTATCATCTAGAAAAAACAGAGGAGCTATATAGAAGCTATAATTCTGTCCCTTTACAGGTTAACTTGTGGGTGCCAAAGAAATTGCTGATAGCAAAATATGTGATGTTGGGGCTTCTCTCAAATTCTTCACCATTGTTCGTTCATTCTCAGACTAGAGTCAGGTAGATCTGAGTCCAATCCTAGCTCTTATTAGCAACATGATCTTGGCCAAGTTACTTAACTGGCTGAAGCCTCGTAAGTTGTGAGGATTAATTGGAACTCTGCATGTACAGGATCTAGGATGTATTAAACACTCAAGAAATGATGATGTCAGCTTTATACACAAGAAAGTTGACCTCTACACCTAAAAATATGATTCTGAGAACAAAGGGACTCCATCATTTGCCACTTCTCTATTTTAAAACTTTAGAAAACTTCCTATTGTCTATGTTTAAACTCCTTAGTATGACATACAAGAACCCTTACAACCTTCCACCGACTTCACTTTTTCACACCTATTGCTTATTTTGCCTGAACAAGCACCTTTGGTCCAATCTTTTTTTTACTTGGTTGGTTGCTCTCTTCTCTACACATATGCCCTTATACAGTCCCATTATCCTATATTTTAATTGTTAACCTGCTGACATCCCACTATATTGCACACTGCTCAGTGGTCAGATTTCCCTACCCAGAGTCTATGATAGTACCAAGCAAAAAGCAGGTAAGCCATATATCTTTAATTAAATGAATGTTCATTGCTTCAGGACTTTAAGAAAAGCTGCTCTCAGAAGAAATAAAAAAACCCAATGCTGTGGTCATTGTTCCTATAGCATGAGGTTTAAACACTTCGCAATAATTTTTGTTTTCCTGCAACACACCTGTGTAGGGAAATTGGTCAGGCAATATTCTCAACATCCTTTCCCAAAGAGAAAACCAAAAGCATAACGAACTTTAAATGACACACAAAGACAGCCCTGAAATACCTAAAATGACATAACTAGCAAGAAGCTGGAAGGCAAACTAGTCACTTGCTTGCCTGCCTATTGGTTCACTATAAGGAAGGGTACTCAAACTTTAATATGCATACCAGTCAGGCAAGGCGCTGGTGAAAACACAGATTCAGCTGGCTTGGGAGAGTGGAAGAAGAGCTGAGAATGTGAATGTCTAAGAAGCTCCAGGTGATGCTAATACGTCTGGTCTCCAGACCTAGACCTCTGGCGTGGACCTGTGCTACCCAGTAGGTAACCACTAGTCACATGACGCTATTAAGCTCCTGAATATGGCTAGCCCGAATTTAGATGTGCTATAAAGTGCATATCGATTTCCAAGGCTTAGTTAAAAAAAAAAAAGTAAAACACCTCAATGATTTGTATAGATTCATATTGAATTGATATTTTGTATATAATGGGTTAAATGTTTTTCTAGAGTTATTCCACACTATTTTTTCAATTCCACATGTGGGTCGCATTATGCCACTGGACAGCGCTGCCCTAGACTAACAACCCTCTCCATTCTTAAGCTTCCATTACTGCGAGACTTTAAGAATGAAAGTAACACTTCTCTTCCTTTAGGTGTTCGAAAGCATATCTTTTGTTTCCCAACTATTTTACATCACCAGGAATAAAAATTTGATAAAAAGCAAGGATTTATTTTTTTTAAAAAAAACACTGAATCCTCCTCTCACTTAGGCCACTGATTTAACCTCCCTCCTGCTCCCGCGCTCTGAGATCGTACCGCCACAGGAAAACAACCACCAGAAAGCTGTCTCCATCCCTGAAGCCAGGCTGGGCGAGCCGTCCGTGGCCGTGCTCTCTGGCCGCCCAAACCGAGGCTGAGGAAGCCGGTTGTCAACAAGCATACCCCTCTCAGCTCCTCCCCTTTCCAGCGCCGACCTCCCCAAGATGGCGGGCGGCGGGGAATCGCTTCCGCTTCCGGTGTGAGCGGCCGGGCCCGGGGGGAGGGGGCAAGATGGCGGCGGCAGTAGGGGTCCGCGGCCGGTGCGAGCTGCCGCCTTGCTCCAGCCCAGGCTGGCTCTTCAGCCTTTCCGCCTTGCTGAGTGTGGCGGCACGAGGGGCCTTCGCCACCACGCACTGGGTCGTTACGGAGGACGGGAAGATCCAGCAGCAGGTAGCGGCCTGGGAGTCCCTCTTCGCCCGTGCCCGCCCTCGCCCCGGGGGGGATTCCCCGGTCCGGCCCCTAGCTGTGTGGCTCCGCGCGGCTCCGCCCCCAGCCTACCTTCCCACGGTGCCGGCACTGCGACCCCAGCGCTCCCTGCACTCAGACACGGTACCGCCCCCTCCCCACTTGTCTCCTGGTCCTCGCTCGGCCGCCTGGAAGTTCTCAGCCTTCCAGCCCCCGGGCCGCGCGCCGCGTGGGGAAGAGTCGCGCGGCTGTGAGGGGACAGGCCCTGGGGACCTTTTCTTGTGCTCGAGATTTAGAAATCACAGATTCATTATCCTTGCCTCTGGTGTCTCTTGGGGCCATGCGTCACCAGCCCTCTCTGGAGGAAGTAGAAAGCAAGTGGCGGCGCTGGGGTGTGTGCGAGTCCCAGGGTGGTGACAGCTTTTGCACCCCTAGTCAGTGGACCATGTAATGCCGCTGCCCCCAGGTCTCCTCAGGCACATAGTGGAATTCGTTTCTGGCTGTGGTGGTTTCAGCTTGTACCGTTACCCAGGTCAGCAGGGGCTCGTTAGAGACAGCATACACACAGTCCCCTTGCGAAGGAATGCTTGAAGATGCCGTTGGCGTTGCCTGCATCTTTTCAGCTGTAACTGCCCTCGTCTCCCAGTGTACTTTGCACTATGTCTTTACCTAGTTCCTATGGCCCAGCCCCGCATAGAAAATATGCGATTTCCTGGACTCTTGTATGCCTAAACTAATTCTTCAGAGGAGAGACTGCTTTTCTTATATAACTTTATGGTTGCCTGCGTTTTGTAAATGCTGCTGGTGCCTAAATAGTATGTCAGCGTGTTCTGCTACAAAATCTTGGTAAACTTAATAACTTGAAATTCTTGAGAACAACCTTGAAATGCCCAGCAAACATTTAGAAAGTGAAGTGTGTAAGTGTGTGCCCTACACAATTTAGCCCACTGATCTCAAACGTTTTAACCTGTGTTGTGGGGAATTACTGGTACTTTGGATTGTGTGTAATGAATGGTGATAGGAACACATTGAAAGGTTTACTTTTGTTTAAGATGAGGTTTAGATTTAGATTTGCCTTGTGATGGCAAATTTTATCTCAAGTATAATGAGAGAGTTAAACAAATACAATTTAAAAATCAGCCTTGGTGTTCATGAGTGGTTTTCAGTGTTATCTGAGAAAAGACTGTCTGTCTTCCTGTTGGGTAACAATTTTCTATCTGACTTACACTAGGAAGTTTCTTTTTCATGGCTGTACCAGCTGAGACTTAAAATATAGGGGTGTGTGTGTGTGTGTTTCAGAAACCCTAGAAAACACTGTAAGTCCATCTTCTAAACATAAAATTGGCAATCTTATGTGAGTCCTGGTTGCTTCCACCATTCTTTTGATTCCTTATAGTGGTTTTCTCTGAGGCCCTCATGAAGGGAGACATGGAATTCAGTCACTCCTGCTGCAATTTTGGAAGTCCTTCTATTATTGGTTATTCTGCAATATTGTTTTTGGACACAGCTATTTATACTCTGACAATGACTTCTTCCCATTTTGGTGTCCTGCCACTCAGCTGAGAAAGTAGCCCATCTAAAAAGTAAAGCTGGTAGAAATGTTTTATTTCTGTGATTAACATTGCAGTGGGAAAGTAGAGTCTGATTTGATTTTCACTCTTTAGCAAATTCCTTCTTTTTGTACATTGGATACATATATTTTAGTGGGGAAAGGTAGGGATTACTGGTAATTTGCCTCAGAGAAGTGGGGAAATCTGAACAATCTTCTGGATCTCTGCCAAGTTACTACTGCATTAAGTATATGACTTTTTCATTGAATTTTCCAATACTTTTGCTATACATAACATTTACTGTGTTAAGTTCAGGCAGCCATGAAAAATTCATTTGATTTTTATATTTAAAGGTTTAACAAAGGTGGGAACCCACCAGTTACATATTGCAGGCTTGTGAACATGCATATGTATTGGAAATCCTACATTCTTAGGTGAGTTGAGATGGGGCTTTAGTCAGAACAAGGAGCGTGCATTCCTGCAGGCAGCTTCTTCACAATCAAAGCTGGGGCTGCTACTGATAGCAGCAGGTATCTAGTACTTGGCATGGCTGTTCCATGAATTTTCTTAAGAGATGGGGTCTTGCTATGTTGCCCAGGCTAGAGTGCCATGGCAATTCACATGTACTACAGCCTCATATTCTTCCTGACTCAGCTTTAGGCTCTAAGTAGCTGGGACTACAGGCATGTGTAAATTTTTTCTTTCCACAGTCCCTGCTTCAGCTAGGAAGTGTTCCTTCCCCACTTTTTAGGCTGTGTGTTTACTGAGCTGCTACTGAATTCCTGAGTGTGGTCCAGGGAATCCTGGAGCTTGGATGTGAAGAAAACATTCCAGTCACTAAGTTCCTTTTCCACTGCCACCAGGGAAAGGCTAAGAAATGGCCCTTCCTTCCTTTTCCTCTCCAACTTTGTGCTTTTCTTCCAGTTTTGGGCTTTGGCATACTTTTGATCCCCTGTGTCTGTCCCCTGTACCTGGAAACTAGTAAGACCATCTCCTTTATTTAAGCAAGGGTCCTTAACTTGAAGTCTATGGACTTGAGTAAGCTATCATAATCTAGTTACTGGGAGGATCTATAAGTATAATCAGGCCGATAGGTCTTTTGGTTGACTTTGTGAAGAATAGGCTTCAAGATAAATTTTTTTTCTCTTTTAGACAGGGTCTTACTCTGTCATCCAGCTGGAGTGCAGTGATGTGATCGTTGCTCACTATAATCTCCAACTCCTAGGCTGAGCCTCCCGAGTAGCTAAGACTACAGGTGTGTGCCACTATTACTGGCCAATTTTTTGTTTTAATGTTTTGTAGAGATGGAGGTCTCACTATGTTAGCCAGAGTGATCTCTAACTCCTGGCCTCAGGCAGTCCTTCTGCCTTGGCCTCCCAAAGTTCCGGATTACAGGTGTGAGACACTACATTGGCCAAATTTTTTTTGTTCTCTCGTTTTGGTGTTCTTTTTGCTTAATCACTAGTGTGGTAACATCTGTTTTCTATTTTTATGAAAAGCGTCTAGCAGTTCACTTGCATCACAGGTTAAATAAACCTTTGTGAATTAGCCTGTGAGACTCATCACTATACACCACATCATTTCTGTGGAAAAATTTATGCTCCATGTTCTAAGTTACCACCTAGCAGATGAACTCTTGAAACATTGCCAGTTTGTTAGTAGTAGGTTTATTGAATCAAGAAGTTGTACTTCTACCACTGGGTTCGTTGCCTCTGGGTATTCTCTTTCTTCATAAGTGGAGGTCTCAAACTTTAAGTAAATAGAAAGTATCATCTTTATCAACTCTCATATACATTATAATATTTACTTTCTTGGCCACTGTTTCCTTCTCCTCCAATCTTAGAACCATAAAATTTTAGATATGGAAAACATTCTTAAAGATTATATAGTACAACTCAGAGAAAGTCACCCAAAGTCATACAACTAATGAATGGCATTTAGTGGTAGTAATAAGTAAAAATGTAGTAGTCTACGGTAGCATGTGAGTGAAAACTTTGTACTCAGTAAATGTGAAGTACATTTTTTTCCTTATAGCACCTACAAATGAAAGATTAGAAAGAAACAAAAGCAAAAATGGAAATAATGAAGTAAATGTCTGTCTTTTCCAGTTTGCCTTACTTCTGCAGAATATTTTGTGATCATTTCAGCATGGGGGTAAGTGGGTGGGGAAGGGTCCCAAATAAGTGTGAATTCGTTTGGCAATTAGTTAATCATTTTGTCTCTCCAATCAGGTGAGTGTCTTTGGAGTACAGATCCTTTTAACTGCTCACGTCAAATGAAATTCTCATTTTTCTTCAGAGGTTTCTGA